AACACACACACACACACACACACACACACACTATGACCTAGCAATTCCACTCCTAGGTTTATACTCAATACATATGGTTTTTCACCAAAGGAGACACACTACTAGAATGTTACAGCATTATACTTGTAAGAGCCAAAAACTATAAATAACCCACATGTCCATTTACAGCAGAATAGATAAATATATACTTGTTCAATGGAGTATTATACCATAATGAGAATCAATGGACTATAAATATAGTTAAAAACATGGATGAGCCTCACAAGTATATATTGAGTGAAAGAAGCCAGTTATGTAAAGTTCAAAAATACCCAAAGGTAATCTGTAATGTTAGATGTCAAGATAGTGGTTACCCTTGGGAGTGGAGTGATTACCGGACAAGGGAGTTCCTTGGTTGGGATCTGGGTGCACAAGTGTTCATTTTGTGAAAATTCAGCAGCTATACTTGTGACTTGTACACTTTTTACTTCAATAGAAATTGCATTAAAATAATAGCTCTTACCTATTGAATGGTACCAATGTATTTAGAAAAACGAATGTACTAAAATATTTATAGACACGTGATTATCATAATTTACAATTCTCTTTTTTACTTTTTTATGAGTTCTCTGAACATATAAAAAGCATACGTAAACTTTGTTCTAGGTTGTATCCACAGAGGCTTCACATTTAATTGGTATTAAATTGTGAAATTCCTATGGCCTTTACTCCGATATTTTAAATAGATGTTATAAAAGTAATTTCTGTATTTATTTTACAGGCAGGTTTTGACAACAAACCGGTAAATGGCCCCAAGTCAGAATCCATGGAATACGGTAGATGTGGTCATGGGGAAGAACAAAGATTGGAATTGAACCCACATCCCCTTAAAAATGTAACTAGAAATGAAGAAAGCATGACAGGTATTGAAATAGAGAAGTGGACACAAAACAAGAAATCACACTTAACTGATCATGTCAAAGGAGCTTTTAGTGCAACTGTGACAGAAGCTGAAAAAGTGAAAAATTCTGAAGATGACAGGAAAAAATTCCCACTTACTAACCTCCTTGAACCTCAAAAGTTGTTTGCACAAACTGTAAGAAACGGCATTAAAAATGTACACTATTTACCAACTGAAACAAATGTGTCATTTAAAAAATTTAATATTGAAGAATTTGGCAAGGCACTTGAAAACAATTCCTATAAATTCCTGAAAGACACTGCAAACCATAACAATGCCATGAGCTCCATCGCTACTAGTGCGAGCTGCGATCATCTCAAGGGGGGAAGCAATGTATTTGTCTTCCAGAAACCTGGCTTCAACTCCAAGTCTGTTCCAGATCCCACAAACTTCAATTTAAGTAGTCATACTGGTACATACAATGAAAGTGATCAGTCAAAAACTCCTGAGAATATACCCTTTAAAGAACCAAAAGATGGGTCTCCACTTCAACCAAGTCTTTTATCCTTAATGAAAGGTAGGGGTTTAACGTTCGAGCAATTGGTGGCCATAGAGGCTCTGACTCAACTCTCCGAAGCTCCATCAGAGAATTCCTCACCATCAAAGTCAGAGAAGGACGAAGAAACAGAGGAGAGAACAGCTGATTTGCTTAATAGCTGTAAAGCTCTTCTCTATTCTGTAAGAAAAGACTTCCAAGACCCAAACTCTCAAGGGGAGCCACAAAGCCTGCCTCACTCTCCACCTTTGGAAAAGCAAAGATCATGCAACATGGTGGTGTTCAATGGCCAAAATACCATTTCCAAGTCACACAACAGCACAGCTACTAACCAGGCACCCACTAAGTCACAGGAATATTCAAAAGTCGCAAATTCAATATCTCTTTTTGTACCAAATTCAAATTCATCCAAAATTGATACCAGTAAAAATGTTGCTCAAGGTAGAATTACTCTTGACAGTTATTCCAAGAATTTACATCAACTTCCACCAAGCAGTAATAAATTGGGGTATCGTAACCAGTTACTGGACAGCAGTAAAAAGTTGGACTCAAAGGATGATCCATCATGTCAGGATACAGCTCATAGTCAAATAGAGGAAGATGTTGCAACGCAGTTAACACAACTTGCATCAATAATTAAATTCAATTATACAAAACCAGAGGACAGAAGAGGTGAAGGTATACCAACAAGCCTTTCTGCACAGAATGCACAACAAAAATATAGTCAGGAAAAGAGCATAATACAACAGAAACCTCCTTCAAGTGTACACAGTAATCATGGCTCATCATTAACAAAGCAAAAGAACATATCCCAGAAAAAAACAAAATCCACTCCACCAAGGGATCGACGAAAAAAGAAGCCTGCAGTCATAAGTTGTGAAGAAAATGACCCGAAGAAGCAGGAACAGTTGTCACATGAGTATAATAAGTTACATGACATTTGGATGGGATCCAAATTTCAAAATTTTGGTCATTTTGTCCCACGTCGTTTTCCTATTTTCTTGGGAAAAATTTCCCCCCTAACCAAAGTACGGAAGCCATTGACTCAAACAAGTTCAGCATTACAACACAAAAAATTCTTTCCTCCACTCGCTCAGATAAAATTTGAAAGATATTGTCCTGAATTAGCACAGGAAAAAGTGGTAAAGGTTGACTCATTGGATTCTTTCTCTTTATCCCAGTTGAAAACAGAATCCAATGGGCAGGCGTTTACAGACAAAGCTTACAGTTCTCAGGTACAGCCAACAGGGAATGTCAATCAGAAAGCTCATCCCTTGCCCCAGCCCTCCTCTCCACCTAACCAGTGCGCTAACCTGATGGCTGGGGATGACCAAACACGGATTCAGCAGGATGTTAAAGAGCAACTCGTGCATCAGAGACAGCCAACATTGCCTGGTATCTCTCATGAGAGACCGCTATCGGACCCAGGACAAATTCTCAGGAATGTAAATGTAGTATGTTCAGGTGGAATTACAGTGGTTTCAACCAAAAGTGAAGAGGATGTCTGTTCATCTAGTGTTGGAGCATCAGAACTTTCTCCAGGAGACAGTGTGCAGAAAAGTTTTAATGATTATGCCATGAGCTACTTTACTAACCCCACAAAAAACCTGGTGTCTACAACAAAAGATTCTGATCTACCAACCTGCAGTTGCGTAGGTAAGTGTGTGCAGGTGTTTCTATTTTACCTGGATCCGTTTCCTCCAGTCATGACAGATTCAAGTTCTGGTTCATCTTTTAGGGGTGCTATTTTTGCCTCATTCATATTTAAGCTAAGATGATCTGGATAATTCTATGCCCGTTTTTCTGTGGGATGTATATTGATTCTGCTCAGATACATGGAAAATGCAACTCATAAAAGGTAAACTTTCTAAAGTAGAAAATGGCTGATTTCTGTCAAGCCTAAATGTATCTCAGGTTGTTTACTGTGCACCTCTCAAGAATGAATTCTTTTAGTTCTTTATTACAGTTTGTTTATTCTGCCTATATTGCAAAGAATTTCAACCTACAAGACTTTTAGTTTTAAAAAATATTTTTATTGTGAGATATAACATGCATACAGAGAATATAAAACATGTACAACTTAACAAATAACTATAAAACTATCTGCAATTGTCACCTAGAACTAGAAGTAATTTCTTTCTTTTTCAGTTGCCTAGGGCTTTTCTAAGGAGCCCTGGCCACGCAGTGTTTAGGTGCTCGGCTGCTAACCAAAAGGTTGGTGGTTAGCACCCACCTACCGCTCCTGGGGAGAAAGATGGTGGCAGTCTAGTTCTGTAAAGATTTACAGCCTTGGAAACCCTGCGGGTCAGTTCTACTCTGTCCTATAGGGTCCCTATGAGTCGGAATCAACTCGACGGCAGTGAGTTTGGTTTTGGTTGGTTTGGTAGAGCTTTTGTGTTCTGCAGTATGCAAGGTATACCTACCTGTATATGAAAAAATTCCGTAATCCTAGCCAGTTGAAAAATTTCCTAGGTCCTTTGAGTTTTAAAATACTTTCACAAATTTATTCAATAAATATTGATTTCCTATTTCAAAATAATAATAATAACAGGTTTGTGCTAACAGTTGAGTTACGGACTGATTCTAACCAGTGTACTTATATATTCTGTGCCTTAGGAGTCATTGAAAGGGGACATTCAAAAACTATTAGAAGTTTTATCAGTGTTTTAAAGCCCTGTGAAAATTTTGCTGGAGTAAAGATTCTCAGGCAGTCCTTATCAGAAATATGTTCATATTTGAAACTTAGTCAAAACTTAATTTGACTCCTGTATTAGTCATTGCCTATGGTTAAATTTCATGTACGTTCTCAAAGATAAAGCGATTATTTAAAATTTTAGTATAGCTGTAAAAAATAGGGAGATTAAATAGATTGGGTCTTTAGAGTGCATTAGGTTACTTAAAGCTCCTTTATTTCAGCCATTATACAACCTGCAATAGGATGGAATTTTGGAAATAACCTGTTCTGAACCCTATCCAAATAGAGTTAGTTATTAAAATTTTGTCTCCTTTAAAATATAGCCCCAAATCACAAAGACTCAAAATTTGCCTTGAACAAAAGGTAGTCATTTTACTAGGATAAAGTGGTTTGATAGTGCATTCCAGAATGGGTTGTTAAAAGATGGTTCAGAAGTATATCACTCTGATTTTTTTTTAATTGCAGTAGAAACAATACTAGAATATAGAGATGACTTTTAGTTCTTGATTTTTCAAAGTACATTTGATATTCTGATTCTTCATTTCTACACTCATCATTCAACACACAGTTGACAGCCTAGAATGTGCCAGGCACTGATAGGCCCTCCTAGGAGGATTCCACAGTCTGGAAGGGTGACAATGCTGTCTGAGTAGGGAGACTTGGAAAAGAGAGAGGTTCTTTTAATGGGCACAGCTCACATTGCAGAGCTCTTACTACGAGCCTGGTACTGGGCCATGTCTTTGACGTGTTATATCTCACAACAACCCCACGGAAGGAGGAGTGCTTACTATCCTCATCTTACAAATGAAAAAACTGAGGCACAGAGTTGTGTTAAGTGGTTGAACTGGGATTCAGAGACACATTCTCAACTCTAGAACTTGTGCTTGTAACCCTCACCCTCTTTTGCTTCAAAAATCTATGATGAAAAAGACAGAACACTTTTCTGAATATCACTACAAATAGGAGAGAAAGGCTTCTAATTCAACAGTAAATGCCATTAAAGTTTGCATACCTGAGCTAGTCAAGTTTTACCATGTGCATGGTGGTCCCAATAGGATGATTGTCTAGTTTCAACACCACTTCTTTATACATAGTAACTAGTCGGTGTAGGAGTTAAAACAGCTAAAGGCCATTAGCAATAACAGCCGGGTATTCAAAGTTATCGACACCTAGAATGTACCCAAAACTGTTTTATATACTATCTCTTACGTGTGTTCCTTTAATCATTAAATGTGAGGTTATTATGTTCATTGTATAGACATCGAAACTGAAAGACAGAAAAACAAAGGAAGAAGTGATACTATCATATCTAAGGGTAAATCATTTCCATGGGGTATTGTTTTAGCAAAATAGAGTGATAAACCTTTGGATCAGGGCTTCTCAACCTCAGCCTTATTGACATTTTGGACTGGATAATCCTTTATTGCAGGTGGCTGTCCTGTGTATCTGAGGTTGTTTAGCAGTATCCCTGGCCTCTACCTACTAGATACCAGTTGTGATAACCAAAAATGTCTCCAGATATTACCAAATGTCCCCCTGTGGGAAAAATTGTCCCTGGTTAAGAACCACTGCTCTAGATCACCAACAATAAGTTAAAATCTGTTCATTATCCTTGTTTCAGAAGCCACAGAAGCAATCCTACATTGTATTTGATGTCTAATCAAAATGTTTAAATAATGACCTTTTGGTGTAGGTACACCATGGTTAAAAATGCACTCCTTCCCAATGATTCTGGTTAGGCACAATTCTAAGAGGCCAATTGTTTTCTAATAAATATATCATTCATGGTCACAACAATTCAAACCTTATAAAATATGATGTAAACATTCTCATAGAGTCCCATTCTCTGAAATAAAATACCTATTACGATTTTTCTATACGAATTAACATTATTACTGATTTTAATTTCTTTCCATTTTTATAAAAACAGGGCCTTTTTAAACTTAATATTTTTGCAATTTGCTTTTTTACCTTAATGAAATCTTAGACATTTTTAAATGTTTGTAATAGCTTTATAGTATTCCACTATATAAATGTCCCATAATTTATTTAACCTATCACTTATTGACAGATGTTAAGGGTGTTTCTTTCTTGATATTACAAATAATTGTAATAAGATACATTCTTGTGTATATTTTGCATTATAAATGCATAATTGTGCAAGTGTATAGTAGAATAAATTCTAAGCCGTGGAATTGCTGCATTCAATTTTAATAAGATTCTGAAACCAAGCTTTTTTGATTTACTGCTCTTGGATAACTTTTAACTTTGCACTTCAGTTACTAAAGATTTTTTTTAGAAAGTGGGAGATAAAAGAATAAATATGATTCAGATCTTAAAATATTTTTTTTTCTCCTCTGATTCTTGGAGGCAGAAAGAATTAGTTAGGAGCAGCAGAAAAAAAGGAACATTAACAAGTTAAATTCCAAGGCCTATTGTCCTTGACTTTAGTCATCAAAGCTAACTAAAATCTTATCAAGAGTTATGGTTTTATACTGAAAAAGAAATTAGTAAAAAAAAAAAAAAAAAAAAAACCCAGCTCCTCCATGCCCCTGTGCAATTCTGTAAAGCTTTGGGTCTAATAATCTCATTCCTTCCACAGATCGAGTTATACAAAAAGACAAAGGTCCATATTATACACACCTTGGGGCAGGACCAAGTGTTGCTGCTGTCAGGGAAATCATGGAGACTAGGTGAGGACAAATACTTCCCTGTTGAAACCATTCTTTATTGTGGACCTGAGTCAATGCAGATAAATCACCTCTGGGAACAACTATGAGGTGAATGGAAACCGCTCAGAAGTATGAGTTGGATGTTTCTTAGGGCCCAGGGAAAGAACAGTGCCTGGTGTCCCTCTAGAATAACTCATCCCTTGAGCCGTTGGACACTCAACAAGCCACCCACAAAGCAGGGCTAATGTTGTTAAATTCAGAAATGCTTACTTGTATATTATTGCATAATGATAGTAACAGTTCACATTACCACCATTGACAACTGTATTCATTCCCTTTGCTTGTCTGGAAGCCAGGCCATTTTTAAAGAGTGATCTTTAGAGAAAAGTAAACAGAACAGAATAACAAATAAAAAGTACGTGCCACACAAAAGTAAATGTAGAAGACTGTTTAATTTTGAAAGTCTGCAAATGTATGTTTTATGCACATTAAGATGCTAAAAGCTGCAGGCTTTAAGGATGGATCATGATTAATTCATATTTTCCCTCTACTGTGTTTTGTACGCAGGTATGGTCAAAAAGGAAATGCGATAAGGATAGAAATAGTAGTGTATACGGGAAAAGAAGGAAAAAGCTCTCATGGGTGTCCAATTGCTAAGTGGGTAAGTATTTGCTATTTATACATTTTTTAAAATGGATTGATTCCACATGTAACATAAATCAATTAAATTTTTTCCTATGAAAATGTGGACTAGAAAAATCTACCCGCTTCCACAGTGAAATAACAAGGAAGTGATCTGTCTCAAGCCGGGCTATGGGTCGGGGTGGTAGGTGGACACCTTTAGAATGTTTTAAACACATGTAGTTTTATGTCAAATGAACAAAAGGGTGTGGGGCTTCCAGTTGTATTCCTCCTCTCCCCTCAGGTCGCAACTTTCACCAACTTTTTGTGAACGTTTAGAAATAATTCAGTGCATTTACAATTAATTAGCATATGCAATTTGTACTAAACTATACACGTTCTTTTATATCTTAGCTTTGTCAGTCACTGTATCTTGAAGAAAAGGAGTGGACTTGATGGCAGTGGGTCTGAGTGTCTTGAAGTTCTTTTCAACTCAGTATGTATAACCAAAAAAAAGCAAACCCATGGCAGCTGAATCGATTCAGACTCATAGTGACCCTATAGGACAGAGTAGAACTGCCCCATAGGTTTTCTAAGGATGTAAATCTTTACTGAAGCAGTCTTCCACACCCTTCTCCCTTGGAGTGGCTGGTGGGTTCCCGCCTACCCTTCAGTTCGCAGCCAAGCACTTTAACCACTATGCCACCCGGGCTCCTTCTTCAGTACGTATAAAGCCAAAAAAACCCAAACCTGTTGCCATCAAGTCGATTCTGACTCATAGCGACCCTATAGGACAGAGTAGAACTGCCCCGTAGAGTTTCCAAGGAGCACCTGATGGATTCGAACTGCCCACCATTTAGTTAGCAGCCATAGCACTTAACCACTAGCCACCAGGGTTTCCGCAGTTTGTGTAGCGCCACCTTAACGAGGATAATATAATACTGAAAGCAAACCCAAATTTACAATATAATCCCAAGATTGTTCCTGTGACTGCTTTGTGTTTCCCAAAAATGCAAAGCTGAAAAAAATAAGAACTGGATTCAGCTTCTTTGGAAAGTTCTCAACCAGAAAAAGAAAAAAAAAATTCATAGCCAAATCTATGTTTTCATTAGGATATTCACATCCGCAAAGATATTAACCAGTTTATTTGAAATTCTTGACCATGGAATTGTTTGAGGTCCCTGTGCTATCATTTGTAAATAACAATGATGATTACAAAAATGATAAAAACAAAAAAGATAACAGCTACTTTTTATTGTATATCAAGCAGTATGTTAAGCACTTGACATACATTGCCCCATTCAATCCTCCATGATTTTAGGAAAGGTAAAAGTGATTATTTTTATACCCATTTCTGAAAGATTTAAAACATTAAATGCAAAGTGGAGATGGGGGTCTAACCTAGGAATTCCTAAAGGAAAACGATTGCTACAACCTTAGCTTGTCTACTAGACTGTGTCTTGGTTGCTTTTCAACCTTTGGAAGGTGACAGCAGTGACGACCTTTTGGTTAGCAGCTGTAGCTCTTAACCACTGCGCCGCCGGGGCTCCATACCAGGCCCAGTTCTTCGTAAATCTGGATTTCCTTAACTTCTTCTTAAATCTGGATTTCCTTAACATGAAAGAGAAATTTTATTTTTGGGTTTTCTGTTACATGCAATAGAATCGAGTCCCAACTAAAACACCTGCCTTCAATTTGTTACAATCTGGGTGTAATTTGAGCAAAACCAATTTCAGAATGAGGATAAGTAAAGGAACTCATGTTTATTGAGTACTTTCTGTTGCCAGGTCCTGTGTTAGATACTGTTGATACAAACATGAGTTAAGATCTACCAATCATCTCATCTGCAAATGTGAGGAAATTGGCCCAGAGTCACATCCAGCATCACAAATTTTGAGTCTAGGTTTTTCTGACTTCTAGTTCATTACTTAAGGAGCCCTGGTGGTACAGTGGTTAAGCACTTGGCTGCTAATTGAAACATTTGCTGTTCGAACCTAACAGCCACTCTGCAGGAGAAAGATGTGTCAGTCTGCTTCCGTAAAGATTACAGCCTTGGAAACGCTATGGGGGATTTCTACTGTGTCCTATAGGGTCACTATGAGTCAGCACTGACTCGATGTCAGTGGGTGTTTGTGTGAGTTCATTGCTTTCTCCTCTAATAATAAAACGTTAGCTGAGATCATCTTGCTAACATAAATCTCAGTTTTGCCCCCCAGAAGTCTAAAAGTTTCCATAGAATTTCTGTCAATGTGAACAGTTGGGATGAGGAAGGAGACTTGTGGTTGTGAACTATTACTTCCTGTGTCGATTTCTTATACTGTGTATGCACTAGTTTTCACACTGTGCCAATCAGGTATGGAATTTAGTATTTTTCTCAATTTCCACAAAAAACCCACTCGTACAAGTCAATACCTATGTGTAAGAGAATTTGATGAAGGTGTATGCAGATGGTAGCCAGAGTGATTTTTATTTTATATTTTGTTCAACCTTCTGAAAAAGTAATATATTCAGATGATTCAAAAAGTTTTAAAGTATGATATGGTATGCTATTTGTTGTTGGTCTTTTATTGATTTATAGAAACTCTTAATGCATTAAGAAAATTGGCCATTTGTGATAAAAGCTGCAAATATATTTTCTCAATTTATTGTGGTTTTTATCATTTGGACTTTTTTATTTTTTATATGGTCAATAATTTCCATCTTTTCTTTTACGCCTTTTTAGGATGTTGTGTCTTAATTAGAAAAGTCTCCCCCACTCCTAGGTTATAAATAGTTCTCTCCTTTTTGTACTATTTTAATAATTTTTTTTTATATTTAAATATTTTATTCACTTTAAATTTATCATGACATCTTAGTTTCTTAGTGCTGCTATAACAGAAATACCACAACAGGTGGCTTTAACAAATAGAAATTTATTTTCTCACAGTTTAGGAGCCTAGAAGTCCAAATTCAGGGTACGGGCTTTAGAGGAAAGCTTTCTCTCTCTGTTTGCTCTGGAGGAAGGTCCTTGTCTGTTTTCAGCTTCTGTTCCTGGGTTACTTGATGATCCGTTATGTGGCATGTATCTTTTCCTCCATTTTTCCTTTCTTCTCTGAGCTTAATCTGCTCTTTTATATCTCAAAGGTGATTGTCTGAAGACACACCCTACACTCATATGGTCTCATTAACATAACAAAGAAAGTCCTATGCCAAGTGGGATTACATCCATGGGTATAGGGGTTTAGGATTTACAACACATATTTTGGGGGGACACAATTCAATCTGTAACACCTGGTTTAGAGTGTATCATTCAGGGTTCTCCAGAGAAACAGAACCAACAGGAGATTTTATTATGAGGAACTGGCTTTTGTGATCATGGGGGCTGGCAAGTCTGAGATCTGCTGGACCGTCTTGAATCCTGGAAACTCAGGCAGGAGTTGATGCTGAAGTCTTGTAGCAGAATTTTCTTCTTCTCTGGGCAACCTCAGTTTTTGCTCTTAAGGTCTTCAAACTCATTGATTGAGGCTCACACACATTGTGGAGAGTAATCTTTCAAGTAAACTGATTGTAGATGTTAATCATATCTACAAAATACCTACACAGCAACTCCTAAATTAGTGTTTGGGGACCTGGTGACACAGTGGTTAAGTGTTTGGCTGCTAACCACAAGGTCAGCAGTTCGAATCAACCAGCCACTCCTTGGAAAACCTATAGGGCACTTCTACTATGTCCTATAGGGTCACTATGAGTTGGAATAAACTCAAGGGCAAAGGGTTTCTTTTTTAATACTCTGGCCAAGGTTCCCTGGTGGCACAGTGGTTAAAATGATCAGCTGCTACCCAAAAGGTCGGTGGTTTGAAACCAGCAGCAGCTCCATGGAAGAAAGATGTGGTAGTCTGCTTCCATAAAGATTTACAGCCTTGGAAACCCTATGGGATAGCTATGAGTTGGGATCAACTCAATGACAGTGAGTTTTTTGTTTTTTTATAGCCTGGCCAAGCTGACACATAAAACTAACCACCAAAGAGTGTTAGTAACAGATCCAGCTTATGTTTTTCCAGATGGCTACCCAGTGATTCCAACACCATTGATTTAATTGTCCATCTTTTCCCCATTGATTTGTATTCATTTATATTAGTGGATTTTCCATTCTGTTAAATCAAAGTATTATGTCTATTCTTGTATCAGCATTAGATTGCTCTAATTATTTAGGTGTTATTATATGTTCCAATAGCTGGTAGGCCTAATTCCTCCTCATTATTTTTTATTTTTCAAAAATTTCCTGACTATTCTTGGCTTGCTTAATTTTCCGTATGAGTTTATAATTATGTTTTCTAATTGCACGAATAAAATCCTTTTGGCATTTTTAGTGGAATGATATTAGAGAGAGGATTTGGAGAAGTTACATCTTTTTGATGTTTGGTGTTCCTGTTCAACATATTATACCTTTTCACTTGTTCATACTTTCTTTTGCCCTCTTGGGTGTTCTCAAGTGTTGTTCCCATAGACTTTACGTGTTTCTAATTTTTCGATGTATTTCTCTTGCGTATCTCAGGTGGTGTTGTTAGGTGCCATTGAGTTAATTTTTAACTCCTAGCGACCCCATGTGACAGAATATAACTGCCCTATAGGGCTTTCTAGGCTGTAGCAGATCACTAGTTCTTTCCCCTGTGGACCTGCTGGGTGGGATTGAAACACCAGCCTTTGGGTTAGCAGCCAAGTGCTTAACTATTCTGCCATATAATTATATAATCCATAGTGATAAATTTATATCCTCCTTTCCAAATTTTGTACTGTTAATTTCTTTCTTTCATTTAATACAGTTAGTCTAAAAGAACAATTTTATATTGCTTTGGTGATGATAGACTTATCTTATTCCTGTCTTTAGGGGGAATCCTTCCCAGGCTGCCCCACTAAACATGGGTAGTCAGGGAAGGCCCCTGGGACAGGAATGACAAATATTCAAAGAACCAGGGAAGAGCACTCCTAATAGCAAGTGGAAAGGCCCTGGGCAAGGAAGAGGGTACATTCTGAATCATCTAAGAAGAGGCCAGTGACATT